GAGTGGCTGTGAGCAGGGAGCCGAGGGCAGCAGGAGCGTGTGGGCACAGGCTGCGTGGATGTGGCCTTATTCCCCACCCAAGGGCAGAGCCCAGAATCCAGTAGGTCTGCGCTCCTGCACCAGACACCAAGGCATCCAGCCTCCCCCAGTCTGGGACTGTTGCCCACCCTCTCACCCTGGCCAAGCCCTGTCTGGCCCTACCGGGAGTACGTCTTGGCAAGTGCTCCCCAGGAAAGAGGGACATGGGGCCAGCAGGGACATTTTACCTTCTAGATCATCAATGGTTTTCTCCAGCTTCGCCACAGACCTCTCTGCAAACTCCGCTCGGGTCTCAGCCTGCAGAAGCGTGGGGGGGAGAGGGTGAGGGGTGGAGCACGACAGGGACAGTGCAGGCTGCACTGCACCCCAAATCTGCCCCATCTGCATCTCCCATACCACCCAGCACAAGCCCTCCCTGGTAAAGGCAAGGGACAAGGGCGTCGTGGATTCCCACATCCTAAACCAGATCAGGCTGATGCCCCCTGTGATGGCATCCCAAGCCCAGGCACCTGCCACACTGCAGGGCTGCAGTTCTGGAAAGGGTGAGAGGATATGGACATAAAGGGATCAAAACCCACATAGGATGGCAATCTCATGCCTGCACTGATGCAGTGTCGACCGCACACCCCTTACCTCCTTCAGTTTCTCCCCTAGAAGCTTGATTTCCTCCTCGTACTTGTCCTCTTTGGTGGAATACTGCAGAGACAGAGACAGGCACCATAAGGCCCGTGGGATGCTTCCAGCCATCCTTCACCCCAGCAGGAGACCCCAGTACCCCCAGACCCCACCCACTCTGCCCAGGCCCAGCAGCCCCGCCAGGTCCTACCTTGTCAGCCTGGGCCTCCAGGGACTTCAAGTTGTTGGTGACAATTTTCAGCTCTTCCTCTAGGTCACCACATTTACTACATCCCAAGCAGAGGCCACCAGGAGGGGGAGCAGGGCCGAGAGGCAGGTGGAGGAGAGAGCAGGGAACAGAAAAAGCAGGCATGGAGAAAGAGAGAGAACAAGTTGAGAGAGAAGAAAACTCAGTGCGGGTGGTGAAGGAACAGAGGCACTGGTACCAGGAGCTGCCAGGACTCATCCGTTCATCCGTTCATCCTGCCTCCTCACACGGACACCCCGTGCATCACTGACAGCTGGGGTGTTGCCAGCCCCACCAAGAAGGAGAGCAGGCACGGAGGGACGGAGGAGTGTGCTCAGCCTGCACCCGCTGGAGGGGGAGGCGAGCGGAGGTCAGTGGCAGAGGCAGTGGTGCAGAGTAGAGAAGGTGGCTCACGTGGCTCGAGAGACAGCAACAGAGAGAGGGGGGCTGCTGCATGTTGCCCAATCCCCTGCCCCAGTACCTCTTCCTCTGAGGCAATGAGGGATTTGAGAGTCTGGTCCATGGTCCGCAGCTCTTCTTCCAACTGTCTCACTCGGCTGGGGTGGAAGAAGGGCACCCCAGGGTTGGGGGGCAACAGCAGAGAACAGGGTCATGGATGTGCAGCCAGTGGGTCGGCACCCCCTGCCCCCAGCCTGTGAGCCCACGGACCACCCCAATGACAGACTCTGCTGCTCCCAGGGAGGGACATTCCTGTCCCCACGCAGGCATCCCCATCCCCACAGCTCACAGGGACTTGGGGAAGGGGCTGTGTGGGACCCCTGCACGCTGCCCACCTGGAGCCCCACTCACCTCTCTGCCACTTCTGCCCTCTCCTCCGAGCGTTCCAGCTCTCCCTCAAGGACGACCAGCTTACGGGCAACCTGTTGATGGCAGCAAGAGGCATGCGTTGGCCCCGCGCTTGCCTCGGCTGGGGGCACAGGGCTGTGGAGAGGCAGCCCCATGGGTTGCTGGGGTCTCAGGACTGGGGGAAGGGTGCGCATGGGTGTGGGCATGCACCTCCTCGTATTTGCGGTCAGCCTCCTCCGCTATGTGCTTCGCCTCCTTCAGCTGCATTTCCTGGAGCTCCATCTTCTCCTCATCCTTCATGGCCCTGTTCTCAATGACCTTCATGCCTCTGAGGAAAGCCCAAGCCAGAAGGCATTACTACTGTGGGTCAATGTGGTACCTGTACTTTCTGCTTGCCCACTGCACCCTAACCCCACCATCCTCCAGCTCCAGGGACATGGGACATTGCCCAGGGATTCTGGCACTTTTTGGTCACCCCACACAGTAGGGTCACACCTGCAGGACCCCAAGGATGCTCCTGCACACAATTACAGCAGGAGAGCTGGCTCCAGAGCCACGTCCCAGAGCGAGGAGATGTGGCTATGGTGCCTCTCAACGAGGCAGGTCCCAAACCCATCTTCTGGTGGGGGAAAATGTTTGCAGCCCAGGATGAGCCAGCTGCACCCCCCACAAAAGGAGCCTGACAGGCCAGCAACCTTTATGAAATACTGGAAAACATCCTGTGGCAAAGCCTTGTCTCATTCAGGGGTGATGCTCACAAGCAGGGGGTCACCAAACACCCATGAACCCCCATGTCAGTGACTCTTGCAGACTCTTCTCCTCGCCCTCAGATGCTGTTGCTCAGACTGGTCTTTTTCAATGGAGGGATGAGCTCACGTAACTGCCAGGAACACCAGGACATGTCCAGGCACTCCCATACAACCTGAGTGCCCCTGCCAGTATAGCTGCTGCATGGGAAACCTGCCTGTAGCAAGGACGGAGCAACACGCTTTGCAGGACTGTTGTTTTGAATGAGGCTGGTGCGTTCTCAAAAGCTGACCTTTGTTCCTAGGCACAAACATCCCCTCCTGGGCTGCTGTTCAGATCTTGAGTGGAGGAGGCTGCTCTGGGGCAGAAAACAAGCTTCAAGCACCCTCTGGCTTTGGTTACAGCCTGTTTTGGCTTTGGTTACACCAGATCAATTTTTTTTTCAGGATTTTATGGGTGCCCTGGAAATTTCAAAGCCTTTTTAAGAATGCCTGTATCTGAGGGACTTGTCTGCATCATGGCTTTGCTCTCTCCCTTTGGGGGTCTACAGGAAAACAAAAGCAAACCCCATAAAGTCACTTTAGAAGGACCCCACTGCAAAACCAAGGGGGCTGCCTGCAGTCAATGGTCACCCAATACTACCCCCACTGTCCCTCCCCATCACACCTCTCGCTCTCATCAGCTGCCTTCTCAGCCTCCTCCAGCTTCTGCAGGGCAGTGGCCAGGCGCTCCTGGGCTCGGTCCAGCTCCTCCTCCACCAGCTTTAGAAAAGCCACTTCAGCCTCAGCCTGGGGGAGCAGAAACCCCTTGGTCACCCCATGTCTCACATATACATATATATATATGTAAAAGCATTTTCAGCTGTTACTTCTGCATTGGCTATCCAGAACACCCCTTGGCACCATGCAACAAGCCAGCACTCACTGGAATGGGATGCCTGACCATGCATCCCCTTGCCTTTCTATAGGGACAAGGAGATCTCCATTCCTAGCACCCTGTTTGGTGCTGGCTCCTCCCGACCATGCGACCCCAGCCCAGCCTGTGCAGCCCCTCCAATGTATCCTCACACATCTTTCACACATCTGCCTCCCGCCCCAGAAAGGGACGAGGTATGTTTGCCAGGGCAGGGTGGCCGGAGCAGCTGTGCTGTCATGGGGATGGTATTTGGGGTTTGCAGAGCAGTGAGTAAAGGGGGAGGAATGCCCCGTGTGGCTTCGCTCCCGAAAAGGAGATCGGAGCCACTTGTGGATTTCCTGTTTACCGAGCTGGCAGAGTGCGCCAGGAACCTCTCCTGCAGGAACCCCACAGCCCTGC